GCTAAAGGCCTGTTTCACACAACACACATATTTGGCACAAAAAATTCACTTCAATTTTGGCATGCTGTTCAGTATGGAAGCTTGTTTCTGCCACCTAATAAATAAATAAAGGTAATCGCTACTTTTCCCCCCTCATAATTCAGACTTTTTTTTTTTGCAAGTTTACATCTCGCAGTTCTGACTTTTTTCTCAGAATTGCAAGATATAAAGGTGCAATTCTGAGAAAGTCAGAATTGTGCGAAAAACTCACAATTTCAAGAAGAAAAAAAAAGTTGTGAAATACAAACTCGCAATTGTGAGGAAAAAAACGTTAGAATTACCGATTACCTTTTTTAATTTTTTATTCAGTGGCGGAATCGGGCTTCCATAGCCAGACGAATCAATGAAAAAGCAATTTCGCGCACAGTACATGAAAAGTACACTTACAGAAAAGCAAAATTACTCCTGCACAAAAAAATACAACTTCCCATTACTGACATTCGCTTGACACAAAGTAGAAAGGAAATCAAAACCGTATTCACATGTCTTCTAACAGCTGTTGAGATTTTTGTATTTATTATTCTGTTTATCAAATAACACCAAACACATAGGCAAGAAAGCCGCTCACAGACTCTTCCTCTGCTGTTCACGGTTGCTTAGAAAAAGTTGCTTAGTTTGTTTGTGAGCACCACCAAGTTTTAGCTTTATGTAACATCAATGACTTTGGGCATGTGACAAAAAAAAACTCATTCAAAATTAAATTGTTTATTGTACCGGATTTTTGCGACAAATATTTGTCTTGGTGTAAACAAGCCTGGAATTAGAGCCAAGGTAACTATGTTCAAAATGATATTATGCATTACATTACATGAATGCAACACTAAATATCTGCAATAGTAATGTGCTACTTTGTTGTCATATGACCATCTTATGTTTTCAAATCGAATTTTGTGTTATAATATCTTTTGGCGATCAAATAATGAAACAAGGTGTTAAAAATCACAGATGTGCAATGACATTGAAAGTGTGTGGTCAAATCAAGCACATTGCATTGTGGGATGGATTACCCAGTGTTTGCCCTACTGCACGTTTGGAAATTTTGACAAATGTATGACAAAAGTCCCATGCATAAGGAAAATACTCATTGTATGAACAGTATACAGTGGTTGTATGCTATTCACACAGCCTGTGTGTTGGTGAAAGATCATTCCAGTCATTCAGCAAAATCAGTTAAAAGCATAGAAATTTGTGTTGTTTGTGTGTTGGGGAATGTTGTGTTGGGGAATGTTACTTTTAAAAGTAATGCATTACAAAATTGCATTACTCCCTCAAAAAGTAACTAATTGCGTTACTTAGTTACTTTTTATGGAAAGTAATGCGTTGTTACTTTTACGTTACTTTTTCACATCTGGGCTGGGCATGCTTATTTGTTTTTAATAAAAAATAAAAAAATAAATTAATTTTTTGCAAAATTAAAAGCCCTTTTAAACCAAAAATGAAATGAAATAAGCCTCAGGCTGAAGGAAATGTAAATATTGCAGGTTTGCATCATATTCTGAGTTTGCATTTCACTGTTTTTTATTTATTTTGAGGAATACTGAATTTGTTTTTGTGTAACTGAGATGAGTAAATGCATGTTCACATTTAGTCTAGAACTACAGTATCATTACGTTCACACAGCGCACACAACGCTTCTGAACTTACTCCGGATTTCTCTCAACATGGGGACAGGAGAGCTGTCAGTCAATCAATGAGAAAACAAAGTAACAGGCATTACTTATTTGAAAAAGTAACACAGATATTTTCCTGTAAATTAAAAAGTAATTGGATACTTTACTAGTTACTTGAAAAAAGTAATCTGATTATGTAACTCACATTACTTGTAAGGTGTTACCCCCAACACTGGTTATATTTCTAAAATAGGTTTAGCCCCTTAAGTTCCACATTTGCTAAAGCCATAGTACAAGATAAAATGTTAAAGGGGTCATATGATGCGATTAAAATTTTTCCTTTCTCTTTGGAGTGTTACAAGCTCTTGGTGCGTAAAGACGATCTGTAAAGTTGCAAAGACTAAAGTCTCAAATCCAAAAAGATATTCTTTATAAAAGTTCAGAGTCAGCCACGCCTACCTAAAACGGCTCGTTCTAACACGCCCCCACATACCTACGTCACGATGTGGGAAGATTTGCAAAACGCAGCCCAAATGTTCACGCAAAGAAAGAAGGCGTAACTTTTATTCTCACTGTAGTATTATTGTTGCCGCTGCAGCCATGTCCTGCATTTCATTACACCAAATACACAAAATAATGTTCTTTTTAGCAACATCATATGACCCCTTTAAGTGCTAAATCTAAAACAAACTACTTAAACAGGTGAATAGTTGTTGCTTGTTTGACTGGTTTTGAGAGGGCTGTGTAATTTGCACTTGCTGAAGGTTTAACTACATGAAACTTATTGAAATGCAAACACAATGTTGTGGAGCATGTACAGGAGACACAAGTCAACATACTGTATAGCGAAAGTCGTAAGGCTACTACAGGCCATATCATAACAGAATGTGGGAAAATATCATCTTTATCTCCTCATCAACTGTAAATATGTATATATTGACATTTCAAACCTCTGTGTGTAAATGAGAGTTTAAATAAAGACATGAGTTTTACTTTGTGTTTTGCAAAATAGAGATCAAAGGACTGTATGTTAGAGTTGTATTTTTTATAAACAACATGGTGATGGTTTTATATTCTTGTCAAGATGCTTTCTGGCCTAATATAATTTTTAGAAACTTTAAAAAGTTATCTTTTTGAATGAGAAAATAAACACTTGATCCTAAACATTATGGTTTTGTGTTTCCTAAACACTGTTTTTGACAATTGTTTAAACAATTTAATTGTTTAAACAACTGACAATTTAGACATTGTTTAAACATTAAATGTTTCCTAAACTTTTTTTTTTTTTTTTGTATTTTAAAGTAAATTTATTAAGGCACTGACCAAAATGATGATTGTACTCGCATCTTGTTTTTAGCATGTAAATTTTGCTACAAAGTCTATAAATAACTAAATAACACTGCAAATCAGAAATACTTACACTGTTTGTTTTTTTCTCATTGTCTAGTTCTGTATATATATATATAAATATATAAACAGAATTCCAAGATAAAAAAAGAACAATATATTGTCTTCTCAAAGATAATCGACTAGAAACTAACTTGGTGTAAGCTGTCTCTTCTCTACTTACAGATGACAGACAAAAGGTGGCTTGAGAATATTCTCAAGGTAAAGGTGGCTTTTTCTTTTAGTGATCAAGTGATTCAAAGGGCATATGGGACATACTTCCTGGAGTGTGACTGAGTTCTGATTGGATGGGACAAGAAAAAAGGGCAGGAGGAGTGTTTGAGGAGAGAGTCAAACCGGTCTGGCAAGTTTTACTTTCTCCTTAACACAAACACATGCGTGCACCATCTGCCTTGCTATCTTTCTGCTCTCTGACACACAAAAGACATTACTGACTGAACTCAGTCTCTCTGTCCTACCTGACTCAAACTTTAGAGATTAGAGGGGAAACCAGTGCTGTTGAGTTTCCTGAAACAGTCACAGGTATGTGTTTGGTTGTGTGTGTATTGTCTGTTAATGTGTCTCAATGCGATCTATACCTTTAAACAATGTGGCTAACATATACTTTACTACAATCTGTTATCAACGTTTGTCTCGTTCTAATTCCCCGTAACTGTTGTTTTGGTTCTAGAAACAATCTTGGATCATGCAGAGACATGCCGTACCCTGTCCCTGGAATCTGTAAGTGAAATCTTGTGTTCCATTTATTCCGGTTGACCTTATTTTTTTCTTGCCTTAAGGGATCGATTTCATATTTACTTCATCTAGAATTGTAATATCATTGTTGTGTTTAAAACAGGTATATAGAAAGAGATAAAGGGAGAGTGAGGTCAGAAAGACTGAGCAGAGAGGATGGAAAAATGTATGGATCCTAAAAGACAGGAAAGAATAGAGTACACGGCGCACTTTAACCTTAGGAGGAGTGCTGGCTGATATGTTAAACGAATGATAAACATTTAGACAATGAGCTAGTATGTCATTGGCCGTACTTTGCCTCTAAGCGAAAGTATCTTAAGTCCATTGATAAAAGTCATTTATCAACAACACTGGAGAAAAATCCAGTATGAAACATCAATAAGTCCCTTGAGTTAACCAGTGACTTCAGTGTCACATTTCTCGCTGAGATCACATTCCTAAGTGGGCAATGTAATTGTCACAAACATGGACAAATGTTTTCATATCAGTCATGTTGGTTTGCTAAATGGAAGGACACTGAAAAAGGCTTTCATTGTGATTTACAGTTATTTTAGGAAGTATTAAATTAATAATTCCTTTGAAAATCAATTAAGTGAATGCTAGAAGAAAGTGCTAGCCTTTTAGCCACTACTAATTTATTAGGTTAATGGTTTCAAGCCATCCTGGAACATACATCAACAGCCTAAAGAGCTCATTAGTGGTGTTTGCTAAAGCAAGTATCACTTTTATTAATGCTCATACCTCTAACCCCAAGTATTTATTTTTTTGGAAGCATAACTTCCTGTGCCATTTGTGTTATGGCCATGAAAGACTCAAATTGTGGAGCTAGCTGATAAGAGTTGTGCTATCACTTTTCCAATCAAATAAAAAGATTTCCAATAGCAGACAACAAAACTGATGAAAGAAAATCCAATTGACTTATTTACGGAAAGGCTTGAGCCATACATGTAGAGACTTTTTAACCGTCAGACCATTCGGCTACTGCCACCAAATCTATAGTCTATAGTAATCTGGGCTGGTTGACATTGTGGTGCTGCAAAATCAGGATTTGAATCAATGTGACCATTCGTAATTCACTAAAGCCGTTCAACTATCCCAGTTCTGTCCTCAGGTATGGTTACCGAACCATGCTGTGAAATGTGTGTGTGAAACTGGTTTACAATCATACCATATTAAAACGTGTTCTAAAACGTGTTACTTGTCGGCACAATGCTGGAAAAACACTTATCTGCTTGTGACGTATCAAATGTTTATCTGCTTGCAGTGGTGGAAAGAGTACTGAAAAAATATTCTCAAGTAAATGTACCATTACCTTCCAAAAAATGTAGTGTGAGTAGAGTAAAAGTACTTGTCCAAAAAACTACTTGAGTAAAAGAGTAACCTGTTTAAAAGTACTCATGAGTATTGAGTAGCGAGTACTGAGCTGTAGATTCTACCCCCTCATAATAAACGCTGTACACCGCAATTTATACATTTTAAAAACGTTGCACATTCTGTAATTCACATTATCTTGTTTGTCATAAAGAATGAAGAATATCTATCATCCCCTCAGATGAGGATGGCCGGTAGACCACAGCTACAGAACCGCTCACTGGTGCAACAGACCATGCCGCAGGTCCCAATGCAACTTCTGCGCTTGCTTAGACCGTACATGCAGCCAAATCAGCAACCAACTGACTTCAAAAGGCTCCACAATGTCCCACAAACAAAAGTCACCAGAGGACCTATTAAACCACCAAATTGTGCTGCGCAAACCTCACCTCCTTTGAAATCCCCATCTAGCCCACCTCTACCCCTCCCCATAAAACCAAACACAGAACCATTATCATGTCCCTCACCGACCCCAATTACTCCAAACTCCATTGATTCGCCCCTAGCCAAAAATGACTTCCAGTCTCCGCCATCTCCAGCCATCACTCGCATCTCCTCAACAAGCTCCAGGAAGCGTCCTTCACTGACACGCTCAAAATCGGACGTCAGCGACTGCTTTTCACGAGCAGGAGCAGAGCTTGAGCGCTTCTTTAATTATTGTGGCCTTGACCCATCGGATTTAGAGGAGTTAGCAAGACCGGGTTCTGACATTGTGTCCGTTTCACGTCTACGTAGCGCCAGTGCCCCAGCATCCGAACGTTCGGCTGAGGGTGAAGATGAGGAAGAAGCAGCAGCAAAAGATGAACGTCCTGTTTATGGTGTTTCCGTCATTGAGAGAAATGCTCGAGTGATCAAGTGGCTTTATGGGATGCGCCAGGCCAAAGAGAGTCCCAAAGTAGCCGATATGTAACAGACAACAAGGGACTAACAAACAACCACTATCCAGACTGAAATGTAATACAATATGTTGTACAAAATGCTTACTTTTCCCCTTTATTTTGTCGCTTATCTGTATACATTAGAGTTGTCTAGTTGAATCTGCTGTGCATGTGTCATATATGATAGCTTACGCATAGTTGTCAATTCCCTTACCGTAAACATCCATGTTCTCAAAACAATAACTACACATGCATGGTTGCATTGTTATGGTGACCACCATTGCATTGTTGTATTTTTCAGCAATGACATGCTGTACTTGACAGGCCAAATCAAACAATGGCAGGAGTTTTGGTGGAGATATGCAAAATTGATGAATGCAAAGTTATTTGTGTCATCCAAAAAATAATTTGTTTTACTGTGGACCTTATTGCAGCTAAGCTTTATTGCTTGTTTTAATATCTTGTATCTTGTGTCATGTGATGACAAATAATATGTGAATATTTCTATTGTTTGTCAAAATCTTAAAACTAATTGGTTGACTCAGTTGCCTCAGATCTTTATTATGAGTATTATGAGACAGAAGGGGGTACAACTTTGATGTTTTGGTAACATTTGGTACACTGAATGCAATGGTACACAACATATTTTGTGTATGATTTGAGCAGAAGTGAGCAGATTTGATCTGTTAAGATGTTTGTCAACAAATGGCAGTCCAAAAACCAGTGTTGTGTTGTACTGACAAATAGACCGTTTTAGAAAACTGATCTTAAAGAATGGGAATAAAAATGAATTTACCCTAGAGCTTTTCTGTTTTGTTATTGTATATTATGTAACAGTTTGGACTGTAACAAATACAGTTGCTTGAATTGGGGTGGCGTCAAAACTGGTGTTTCCTCTGGCATAAAAATAACATTTAAAAGAATACAGTATTTGAAGGTCGCACTCGCAACGTTTTTTTTTTCTTCTGTTTTCACTGTATCATCATTTCCTGTTATTATGGCCAGGAAAAATGTGGGGGATGTAGTTACTTTTTTAGAACATGGTTTTAACCTTGTGTCTAACCTCTGTATTTCCATCAAAGTTGTGGAAACACTTACCTTCTCTTGTGCCCAACCAACCTATCTCTTAATAGTTTGTGAATGGCACAAGCGTCTACAAACAACCTGGGACTAAGTTTTCTGTTCAAGGGGAAAGTGATGAAAACAAATCTCTGTAACTTTCCATTTCATGGGTCACACAGGAGTGAAACTGGGTTCCTGTGGACACGGCTTTAGCTGAATTACTTTAAATTGCAGCACGACAAACTACAGTTTCAAAAGGGCCTTCCGCACCGCGGGAACCTTTTCATAGTACCAGAACTAATTGTGGAACTACCCACTTTTTGGCGTTTTCGCACCGCCGGAACTGGGTGCGATTTTAGTCTTTTAGAATTTTAGTAGACTGCCTTTTTCGAGAACCAAATTAGCTCCTACTCCGGAGCAGGGTCTAACCAGCACAACTGGTACTAATCGTGACGCAAGTAGACATTGATTGGCCAAACGTGTACGTCACTTCTTAGTACACACTCTCGGTGCGAATGCAACCCTTTAAATGGTACTGGGAAATAGTTCGCGCAAAATCGTCCCAGTACTTTAGTACTGTACATTTAGTTCTGGAACTAAAGCGGTGCGAAAGGCCCTAATAATGTTGCTTCTCCAACATTAAAGAGAACCATGTAATTCCTGTTTCCAACTTACTGTAAATCGCTGTCTATGTAATGTCACAATAATAGGTGCCGGCCATTTTACAAATTCTAAATAAATTATTTAATTCCCTATATAATGCACACTTTTATACCCATAATGCACTGTTATAGTGTACAACTGACAAATTATGATAATTATGATAATTTATTAGATTCATATTTTATTGTATTCTTAATCAATAATAAATAAATGAAAAATAAACAACTATTGATTTTTATTGTTTTTATGATTAAACATTATGAACTATATATTAAACTGACAGTATGTAGTTATAAAGTAACTCTATTATTTGACAAAGACATTGAGTTTTTATTTATTTATTTTTTCTGGTGCATGGTATTTATACACTCGTCCGAACAGGGTTATTATAGTTTACCAAAAGTAAAACCATACAAGAAAATAAAATACATTTTTTGTTACTTGAAATACAGTAAATATTAACTGAAATAAAATAAAATATTAAAACATTTTATTTCAGCTAGCTGTCAAGGAACATTTCTAATTTTTATTTAGTTTAACTTGATGGACTAAAATAACTATATACTGAAAATGAAACTATATAGACTTAAAAAAAAAGATAAAAATGACTAAATGAAACAAAAGTACTACTTTTAACAACTTTTTTTTTTAAATTCAAACTATTGATAAAACTATAATAGTATCTCAAATAAAGTTGCAATAAACACTCCAGTGTCATTTTTAATTGAAACAGTCAAATACAATTTAAAAATGGTAATTAAAAATTGTATTGAAAATGTTAAGTTTTAACTACTAAACTACGTCTAACTATGAATTCAATCACTTTAAATACGTCTATTTATGCTTCAATTTTGATATTTTCAAACACTCCAGTAGCTCCCACTGGAATCCCTCAGCAAAACCTAATACAATAATTTACAAATTCATTAAAAATGTACATAATATGCCATAAGATTTTAAGAATGGAATAAGATCCTTCTTGATATACTGACATTCTTAGGATTTTTGCCTCTAACTGAAATACTTTCTCCAAATCCAGAAAGTAACCCAACAAATGAAAGTTTATAATGAAAAAAAAAAAAATCAATGTTGTTCTACAAATTGTAGGTGATCGCTCAGTGGTAGAGCATTGCGTTAGCAGCGCAAAAGGTCGTGGATTCAATTCCCAGGGAACACACATACTGGTAAAAAATGTATAGCCTGAATGCACTGTAAGTCGCTTTGGATAAAAGCGTCTGCTAAATGCATAAATTATTATTAATTATTAAATTAAATTGTGTTTACTTAAAGTAGTCCCTGTGTGCCTGACAGCAGCTCTAGTTACAGTGTGCTGTACCTGTGGGAGGATCAGTGAAATCAGGATTCAGCTGGACTAGTTTCACTGCTTTCACTCCACTTAGTATTCAACAGGCACGAGTGAACCCAGCAGAATGAGCAAATTACAGTAGATTCGGTTATGATTAAAGATCAAAACAACAGACCACAGACCAATCAGGCTGCAAGATAGCTTACAATCAACACAGCGCTCGCTGACCACAGTATGCCGACTGCTACAACACGGCTAGATAACGAACAGAGTGTTTTCACTTGAATCAGTGATGAACATGGCAACAGAGAAAGACAAGAGACCTCTGTAAGTACATCCATAAAGAGCATACCTCTTTTAAACTTTTGTATGCTTTTTCATTTTTTAAGAGGCTGACGTCTCTGTCTTTGTCGCTCTTTCTGTGTCTTCACAATAAGGTGAGGCTTCCCCTTTCCACAAAGCTGTGTTATGCAGTAGGTGGTGTCCCATATCAGATGACCAACATTGCTATGGGTTTTTCACTACAGATCTTTCTGTTAGATGTAGTACAGGTAAGAATCTGCCTTTCCTCACCTTTGGCTGAATTATAGTCCAAAGACGGCTTAATGATTTATATTTATACAGTCAAATGCATTCTTATTGCAGACCAACCATACTTGCATTTGCCATCTGCTCTACTTCAGTCTCCCAGTATTCTGTATATTAATCTAATAAAACCATTTCCTTCTGTTGAAGCCCGCCCTCCCATTATTTCAGTTAAAAGTCAACATGAAACACATTCACAACCAGTTTGACTCCTACACTCTAAAAAATGCTGAGTTAAATACAACCCAGTGCTGGGTAAAATAGGGACGAACCCAGCAATTAGGTTGTTTTGACCCAGCGGTTGGGTTAAATGTTTAACCCAACCTTCTGGGTAGTAACCCAACCGCTGGGTCAAAACAGCCTAATTGCTGGGTTTGTCCCTATTTTACCCAGCACTGGGTTGTATTTAACCCAGCATTTTTTAGTGTATGATGTTTTGTATTTCTATGTGAATTTGAAAAAAGATAAAAAGCGTAGGTCAGGACTTAGTTTTAGTCATCCGGAATTGACTGGATCGTGTAAGTGACTAATACATACCAGAATTGCTAAAATAATTCCTAAAAAACTACATCGTTATTGGTTAAAAATATTCAAAATCGCCAGTGCAGCCAAAGTGACATCAGCTCAAAAACGAGGTCATTTCAGAGATGGAGCAAGTTACTACATTTTGATGGAATACTATGTAAATAAACTTTGTTCCCCTTGGAATAACCAAGAAGGTTTATAACACCTGGAAAACGTGATGAGAAAAGAAAGATGGAACAATGTAAGCCAGTTTCACACTTTTATGAGCCTCCAAAAAAGAATATGGCATTGCAAAAACATCTATTAAAATATAATGAAACATTTGTTAAAGTTGTCATAAAACCTCGCTAATTTTGAATGGCTATCAATGGAAAAAAAATATTTGGGGGATTTTCATATTTTAAGGAAAGTGTAGTTTCACTTTGGACAGGAAAGAGTACTAACAAATCCATTTAATTTTAAGTTAACTTAACTTAAGGTAACTGCCTTGTGTACTAAAGTTATGTCTGAGAATTTGTTTTGTTTTGTATAGAAGCATTTAATCGCAGCAATCTCATCTCTTTAGTGGAATCTCCCGTATATATTCCCGTATTTACCCTCAATTCTCTGTTTTGCTCTTGTTTGGTGTGCAGATGGAGGCTTTTTTTGTGTCTTTGATTCTGTTTATCAGTCATGCCTGGGATGCCGTGGCTGATCCCGTTGTTGGGTATCTAGTAAGCAGGAGCAGCTGGACCCAAATCGGCAGGCTCCTTCCTTGGTGGGTGGTCAGAGTTTGTGACATGAATGGTACTGCATATTTTAAATAAAATATTACTTATTAAAATCATATCATTACAAAAAAAAAAGACTGTTTTCTGTTTAATGAGATCCTAAACCGCTCTTCGAAACAAATTCTGTTCGATTTGGGAACAAATTGCTCAGACCGGTTTTGTGAACTTATTCAATGGATTCATTAAAAATATGAGTTTTCATGAAGGAATGACAAAAGACCCTTTTCATAGACCAAGAGGATGCTTTTCTGCAGCAAGTTTGATATATATATATATATATATACACTGAAAAAAATGTTTCATTCATCCAATT